GAATTTAATTTGAAATAGAAACAAATTATTTATTACTTATTGAAGAAACTACTATGAAAGATGAGGTCTTTTATCTTGTAGAACTTGAGTTGAGTTATCTAATAATTATTAAATTTTAATTTTTATAAAAAAAATTATAAAAATAATTTTTGCAAAAAAAATACGGTTTTGTCCGACTGTGCATTGTAAGTAGTATGGAATATTCTATATAATTATTAACACATTTGCCACTTATTAAATATAGGATCAGGAAAGTCTTTTTTTCAACCATTTTTCAGCTTTTTTTCTAAGTGTTTAAAAATTAAACTCAAAAACAAAAAAAAATCATCTAGTTCATTTTATCTTAAATGTCAAAACATCCAAGTTAGAGCTGCAAGGATAAATATTGTTTATGCAATGCAATTTTTTTTTATTTAAGTTAATTATATTTACTTAATTTAAATATATTAACTTGTTTTATAAGCATTTCATAAAAGCATTTTTTTCAAATGTGTTCATTGCTTTTCTTTTCTTTCCAATTACAAAGAAATTTTTATTTCTTTGTAATTGGAAAGAAAAGGAAAGCAATGAACAGAATATATAAGTTTGTTTGCCATTTAAAAAATTATACTCCATTTAAGTCTTTTAAACTTTTCAAAGTTTTTTTCCATTTCTTGGGGGATTGAGACATAATTAAAAGCTCTAAATACTGTGCATTATTTTTCAGGGTAATAATTATAGAAACTGTATGAAGGCAAGTTATACCTTTGTGAAAAAGTTGAATAAAATATATTTAGTAAAGAATTTTATAGGATTTTATTTTTTCATTTAATAAATATTTTCAGTTCATTTAAATTTTCTTGTTCAAAGTATGACTATTTAAAGCTTTGTTTTTGTTCGTAATTTATTGTATATCTTTATTTAATTTAAATGTTTAATAAATTGTATTCTAAATAACCCCTAGAGGGGTTATTTAGAAACACCATAAATCAAAATATCCGAGAAGTAAAGGTTTACAATTAATCGTAAATTAAGTAAAGGTTTACCTTAAATCAAAATATCCGAGAAGTAAAGGTTTCTCTACGGTCCGACTTTAATGTAATTTTGAGACCATAACAAACGCACGATAAAATTTTATTAAAAAACTAGTAAATTATAGATAAAAGTAGAAAATTGATTTAAGGTAAACCAATAATAGTATGTAAATAGTAACAATTAGGAAATGTAACTTAGTAAAGAAAAAATAGATTTTTTATTTGTTTTTTTATGCGCCGTCTGGATTAGAAATTTCTTGATCGATTTGATGTTTTTGAAACTCGCAATAGGTGGAGTTGGCCATATATTTTTAAGATCAGTATCCTGTTCAACAATATTCCAGTGCTTTTTAATTATTTTATTTATGAGTTTTTCGACTTTTCCAAATGTTGTAACCATCGGTAAAATTCTCTCTTTCTCTCTTTCTTCTTTATATTTGTTGTAGATAAGTTCGTGTTGTGTATGTCGCAGTGCTTGTTTAAAGCCTTTGTTAATAGATTGAATAGGGTAGCCTCGTATAACTAAAATTTGTGCTAATTGTTTTAGCTTTTTTATTAGGTTGTAATTGTTGGATATAATCTTATTGTATCTTAACGCTTGGCTATATATTAAATTGCTTTTTTGATGAGGGGGATGGAATGAATTATAATGCAATAGTGCTGTTGTATCAGTTGCCTTTTTGTATACTGTTGTTTCTAACTGTCCATCTAGCTTTTTGTTAATTGTTAAATCCATGAAATTAATAGAAGTGGTAGAATTATTGAAAGTAAATTTGATCGTTGGGTGGATGGCATTCATTAATTCGAAAACTTGTGTTAGTATTTCTGGAGGCGAAAAATAAAAAATATATCATCTATAAAGCTTTTATAAAAAGAAATCCACATTGAAAATTGGTCAATTATTTTCTCATTAATTCTTCCCATAAATAGATTAGCATAGGGTGGAGCCATACGTGTCCCCATGGTAGTACCTGTTAATTGTAAAAAATGATCAGTCGAAAATTGAAAGTTGCTGTGGGTTAAGATTGTTTCTAATATAATGTCAATAAAAGCAATAGGTGGGTGTTTAATGGGTCCGTTAAATGGCGGTGCTCTCTTTAAATAAAATTTTACAGCGTCAATACCCTTGCGATGAGGAATGTTTGTATACAGGGATATAACATCAGCCGTGACAAGAATGTAATTGTTGGTTTCTAGTACATGAGATTGAAGGAGTTTAAGGAAATGTGTTGTGTCTTTAAAGTATGCTGGTAATTGTTCAGCAACTGGCTGAATAAATTCTGTGATAAAGAACGATAAGTTATCGATTGGTCCGTCACAACCAGAAATAATTGGTCTTAAGGGAGTGCCTATCTTATGAATCTTGGGAAGGCCATAAAACAGGGGTGTACGAAAGGGTGTTTTTGGTCATAGAAACTCTGATGTTTTTTTATCAATCATATGATGAAGAAACATATAGTCAATAAGATTGTTAACATCTCTCGCTATACTTTTTGTTGGGTCTTTTGAGAGTAGTTTATATGTATTTTTATCTGATAAAAGTAGAGAGATCTTCTCTTCATAGTCAGTTTTATAGGGGGTATTTGTATTTTTTTTAAATACAAATACCCCCTCCTTTGTCGGCCTTTTTTATGATAATTGTGGGATTAAACATAAGGGAGTTTAGTGCGTGAATAAGTTTAAGAGTTAAATTTTTTTTATCTTTTGGTAGTTGTGAGAAAATAAGTGCAGTTATATCACATTCTACCAAGTTAAGATAACTTATAATAGTTTTGTTTTTTGTCATAGGGGGAGACCAATTTGATTTTTTATGAAATGGATGCCTCATTATTTCTTCGGTCCCAAAATAGAGTTATTGGAGAAGGGTTGTTTTAAATCTTTCAAAAGCTGTTATGTGCATATTAAGTGATGTATTTGTAATTGAAGGAATAAAATTTAAACCCAAAATTAAGAGCTCTTTTTCATCGTCTGTTAGAACGTGTTTTGATATGTTAGTTACTAGTTTATTGTAAAATAGATGTGAGAAATTTGACTTAGCCTGAATGATTTCTTTATTATATTGCCTCTTGTTGCTATGTGGTGTTGACGAAAACAATTTAGCCAGAGTAAATAGTGTAAAATTTATCTTTTCGTTAGACGGAGTAAACAGTTTTCTTTGCTGATCCTAGAGAAAAATATTTTATCAAGGATACCTGTAATAACCAAAAACAACAGGTAAGAGACAAGTAGACATGTAAGAGATAATAGAAAACTAGTGAAGATAATTTAAAGTCAAACACAGCATTGAGACAGCAAACCCAGTATTAAAGTTTGTGGATCCGAACTGAATGATAGACACCATTAAACGATAAACTTAATGGTAAAATAGATGCATATAATATAAGTTATTAGATGCTAGAACAGTTATATTATATAGTCCAAATAAAAATTTAAGCAACTTAGAGACCTTAACAAAATCGAAATATCAAAAAGTAGAGTTTTCTCAACGGTCCGTACTAAACGTTGTTTGAGACCATAACAAAACCAACAACGAAAATTTATACATCAACAAAGCATATCAAAAGTTGTGAGTTTTTAAGAATCGCTTTATATATATTTTTATATATGAATAATAAAATGAACAATCAATCACACACGATAAGCACATATACAAAACATGTAAATCTGTATATACATAACAATCTATTAAAAGAAAATATTATTTAAATAAGGATGAGTTCAAACAAAGATATTTTATCTAATAAAAGAACAAAAAGCATGCAAACGATGTAAACAGGCTGTATGTGCATAAGGGTATATAGGTGTAATGTGTAAGTCTGTTCCATTTATGTCTTTCAGTAGAGTCTTGTGTTGTTAGTAACCAGCGTAAAAGATATATCTCTGAACTACACCAAGCCAACCCAGTCATACTCCAGAAAACCATGATGGATTAAACACCTATGCATGGATTTATAACTGACTTATGACTAAAAAGCGAGCCCAGGCATCTTCCAGAGACAAACATCCACTTTCGCGGTGACAGTAATTGTGATATGGAAAATAGTCGTGCTCGATGACCGTAACACTAACCCTTACGGGCTAGGCCCAATATTATTTAAAAACTTTGGCATATAAAATTCGCCGAATGGTCACACACGAGCAGTGAACATCCGAGGGAAGAGATGAAGTACATTAGAATAAAGAAGAATTATTTATCAAACAAAGTATATTTTGACAGTTGTCAAGACAAAAATAAAGATTAATAGAGGAAAATTTCAAAACAAGTAAGACAGACAACACATCCAAGCAGTACTCACAATAACAATAACAAAAAATTGTATCATATAAAAAACTAGCACGTACAAAGATATACAACAAATATATAACCAAAATAAATTTTTTTTTAAAAAACCAAAAAATTGATAAACAAAAAACTTAAAAAATAAAAAAACAAAAACAAAAAATATGGATACAACAATGTAAGGCCTTAGAATGGAAAAAGAACATTAATGCTAATGTGTAAACATAATTAATGTAGTGATAAAGTAATAAACATCTCCTCAGAGTCGTGTCTATTATTACAGGCGTTTCGATGAGGATCAGCACTCTACATATAAATAAATTAAATATTATTTAGAGAAGTGGGTATTTTTTTGAAATTTTGTGTATTTAGAAAGCAAATGTTGAATATATTATTAATCTTATTAAAAAAATATTTCTTTATCTTTAAGAAATATTTTTTTAATGAAGTACAAGTTTTAGTGTTTCTATTTTGTTTTATACCTTTTCAAGTGTTTTTATTGTTAATGTTTTTTTTAAGACACAAGATAATTAGTTACTTTTTATTTTTGTTTTATGTTTGTTAAACAAATTTTGTTTGAACAAAAAGTAATAAATTTTCGTCATTATTTGATCTTATATTTTTTTCCTAAAGTTTGTTTTAATCAAATATTGATTTCCAAGAGTTTCTTTGGAATAATTATCATCATAAACTCTTTTTAAATACAGCATTTCAAGGAGCAGTTTCTTTTCAATCTTCCGAAAATAACAAGTATCTTTGTCTTCGAAGTATGGCTATTAGGCTTGACGATTTTTTATCAACAGATTATGCTGGTGATAGATCATATTATGTTCATCAAAAGGATTCATATCTTTCTATACAGTCAGCAAATCCTGCTTATCTTTTACATTTTATTGGAAAAAATGGTGATAATTTCAAAATATTGTCAGATGCAAATGTTTCAGCTTTTAATCTAGTTGTAACTGGTAAGTTTATGTTAAATAATTTTTAATAGGGTATGACTGAAATAAATTAACAAAAAAAAAAAACTTTAACATTTTTGTGCATAACTTTTTTAAGTTTATATTCAACTTTTAAATAATACAATAGGTATATTCTAAAAGATACAGTTGACTCTTTTATCTTGACCTAAAATTTAGAAAGTTCAAACTATATACCTTATATATAAGTTATGTATAAATTGTTTAAACTCTATACCTTTAGTAAAAACACTACATACCTTTAGTATATAGTTTTTTTCCAAATATGGAACTTTTTGACAATTCTTTTGTTGGGTTTAATTCTTTTATCCGCATTTATAATGCGGATAAAAGAGTTAAACCCAACAAAAAAATTGTTAATTAGCTGTTTTTGGTTCAGCATTTATTTTAAGTAACTAAGTTCTAATATTTTGTTGAACTAAATAAGTAGTTAAGTTTATTTTGAAATATCTGATACATTAGTGTTTTTTTATAGGATGAAAAAATAATGTTAAGTTTATGTTTCTGCTCAGATATTTACAATGGAAAATATATTAAAGATCTTTTCTTGGAAAGTAAACAGTGTAAAGGAGGAAAAAAATGCAATTTTTCCCCAGTATAAAAATATAAAAGTATAAAAATTGAAAATTAATGAAACATGAATTGAACTCACAACTCTAAACAATTCAATAGAATTGCCTTAACTCTAAAATTTAGATTAAAAATTCCTTATATACTCTTGCATTTTCAATTAGATGTTGTCCATAAAATACGTATCCTTTTATTTTGACCCTACCCTGCATTTTGCTTTTAGATTAGCCCCACCTCCGTAAAAGTACCTACGCTTTTAACCTATCTACCCAATATGACACTCCTCTCCCCCATTTGAGCATGTGTACTTTATGGACAATCCCTTGAAGATATTGTATCTGTGGATGTGTGTATATATACATATATATGTATATTTATATATATAAATATATATATATATATATATATATATATATATATATATATATATATATATATATATATATATATATATATATATATATATATATATATATATATATATATGTATATATATATATATATATATATGTATATATATATATATATATATGTATATATATATATATGTATATATATATATATATATATATATATATATATATATATATATATATATATATATATATATATATATATATATATATAGAGAGAGAGAGAGAGAGAGAGAGAGAGAGAGAGAGAGAGAGAGAGAGAGAGAGAGAGAGAGTAACCATCACATGTTGCATTAAAAAGTGAAAAATTTAATTGCAAAATTTTTTGAAAAAATACAAAATTATTAGATTTTATATAGATTATCAACTTTTTTGTAGATATTGTACTGAGGTGAGGTATGAAACATCATTCTCTGATTGATTTTTAACAGTATTTAAGAATTAACTCAGCAGACAGTATTTGACTGGTGAAAGACTTCTGTTTTTTTGCTTCAAAAACAACTCTGTTCTAAAATACAAAAGTGTAGGTGTTTACAAAATCTGCCAAAAGACATCTTAATCTGCCATAATACATCTTAAGTCTATGAGGTGCTTTAGATTATAGTGATTAAATGAATGTAAAGAAATTTTTAAAGAAGGTTTAAATCTGTAAAGAAGGTTTTTCATGCAGAAGCTTTACAAGCTTCATACAATGTTCATAAATCAGTTCTGCTTTTGACAATTTTGACAAATCACTTTAAATTGTGTGCCAGATGCTGTTGTACTGTTGTAAAATATTTTGAACAATTTTTTCTCCAGGAAACTTTATATCACTTTATATCATTTTGTGCTAGATACTGTTGTAAAAAATTTAGGACTGATGTTTTCCAGGACACATGTTGCATTGGTATATCAAAAAAACATTTAATTCCTTTCTGCAGACAATTATTTCAGTAATTTTATGGCAATACATTTTAAAACCTACACTTAAAACTAATTTCACATATTTATGTATTAAACATGTACCTTTTAGACTAGCAAGATTATACCATTTAAGGTAAAGACTTTAAAGTTTGGTGAATCTAATTTTATAGCATCGGTTATTATATGCTGCATATATTTATGTTGTTGTATGCTGTATATAACTGCTTAAGGTTACACAAGTATTTTTAATATTTTAGCATTTAACATGTGTTAATACTTACATTGTCTTTTTTACCTTGATGTTTTGCTTTTGTCTTGACAACTTATCGTCACTAAAACATTTTAAAAGTTCAAAAATATCTGATTTGATGCTGTTCAACCATATCAGATAAAATCAACTTTTGAACTTTTGATCACTTGTATCACTTTAAATTGCTCATCGTTTGTGCCAGATACTTGTGCTCCAATATTGGTTATCATTTTGTGCCAGATACTATTGTAAAATATTTTGGACATCTTTTTCTCCAGGACACCTGTTGCATTGATAAATCATACAAACTTTTAATTCTCTGTTGCAAACAATCAGATAATTTCAGTGATTTTATGGTGATACATTTTAAAACCTACAGCACTTAAAAATTAATTTCCTATTTTTATGTATTGTACATACGCTAACAAAAAATGTACCTTTTAGACTAGCAAGGATATATCATTTAGAGTAAAGACTTTAAAATTTGGTGAATCTAATTTTATGGCCTCCGTTCTTTTATTGTATGCTGCATAGCAGCATATAGCTCCTTAAAGTACAAAATATTTTTGATATTTTAATATTTTTTAACATATGGTAATAATAGCATTTTCTTTTTTACCTTATCATTACTGTAAAAAAGTTTACAAGTTTTAATGATGAGTTTTTAATTTTAAAAGTTTTTAAGATTTTATGCTGTTCAACCATATCAGAGTATACTTTTTTTGAGTATCTTTTTGGTTGCATAACAACTTTGTTTTTTGAATTTTATTTTTGGCAAAATTTAAAACAAACACACATTTGCTATTTTCAGATAGAACAAGATTTTGGAGTCAATTTGAAATTTAAAAGTTACAGCTTTCTGTTAAAAACTTTAATTTAATTTTTAGTTTATTTAACTTGTCTAGATTGTCTTAAATAAGATTTTATTTTTAAACAAATTATTTAGAAGTCTAAAATATTTAACTTGCATATGGTTAACCATAAAAACTATTTATAGTGGTTTGAAGCAAATGATTTGAACTGCATTTAATTTTATCAATCATTAAAAAAAGTTATTTTTTAAATATTGATAAAATTGAATGCAGTTCATGCACACTTTTTGAAGTCTGAGTATTAAAAGAAAAGTAAAATTATCATATATAAAAAATTAATATTTAAAATTTAAAAAAAATTTCAAAAAGAAATCCTCAAATTTCAGCCCTGTCTAATTTTGGTAATGCTAAAATAAAATTTGGTTAAAAAGATTAATAATATAATTATACATAATAATCTCAAGGTTAATGAATTTTATTGTTGATATTTTGTTGTTAAAAGAAATTTGGGGAAAAGAAAAAGCCAGCTACTTAACAAAAAATTACCAAAAAAAAAATCCAGGCTATTTTCACAATTTTAAAAAGTTTGAACTGTGAAAATAGTTCTGATAACAAGCTCATATTTTTTTTTGATTTGTCTACTATTTTTTATTACAACATATTTGTAAATATGCCTTTTTTTTTTTAATTTTTGTTTCGAGTTGTTATATTTTTTCATATATGATTAAAGGTTTGGTGATTGAAAACATTGTAAGCATCAATAGATCTTCAGTCAATGTTACTATAAGTTCTGCCATTCCAGTTTGGAATTTAACAACAGATTTTGTAATTAAATGCAAAGATCCAAATGACGTAGTCAATTTTTATCCTGCTACAAACTATATAGCTGTTATTTCTTCACTACAAAGCAACACTTTTTACAAATTTTCTGCAGGTGTAAAAAATGAATTTGGATTCTATGTGTATGGGCCAGTGTTTCTTTATCAAACTGACAAAGATGGTAAAATTTTATTTGTACATACATACATAGATACTTATTCATATATACATAGATGCATACATACATACATACATACATACATACATACATACATACATACATACATACATACATACATACATACATACATACATACATACATACATACATACATACATACATACATACATACATAAATACATACATACATACATACATACATACATACATACATACATACATACATACATACATACATACATACATACATACATACATACATACATACATACATACATACATACATACATACATACATACAAACATACATACATACATAAATACATACATACATAAATACATACATACATAAATACATACATACATACATACATACATACATACATACATACATACATACATACATACATACATACATACATACATACATACATGCATGCATGCATGCATGCATCCATACATGCATACATACATACATACATACATACATACATACATACATACATACATACATACATACATACATACATACATACATACATACATACATAAATACATACATACATACATACATACATACATACATACATACATACATACATACATACATAGATACATACATACATACATACATACATACATACATGCATACATACATACATACATACATACATACATACATACATACATACATACTTCTGCTTATTTAAATCAGTTTATGTATGTACTCCCTGCATGTTTGTCATATTCAAGTCAGTTGATTTATGGACACTCCCCTGTGCTAATTCCTATTTAAGTCAGTCAATGTATGTATACTCCTTAACTTTTAAATATAATAATAATTTACAAACAATATTATAACTTTTAATTAACAACAATAATAGGTAAAACTAAACACTTTAAAATAAAACAAAAAAGTTAACTCGTAAAAGGATTTAATTCTGCATCCCTGGCTTTACAAACAAGTTATCTACTTGTTTGCTCAAAAGTTCACTTAGAAAAAGCTTATGACCCATTGTGGGTTATAATGAAATCCAAGTTCTCAACTTGTTTCCTAATTAATTCAAAATTTTATTAAATTTTTAATGCATCTTACATGTAGTTGATAAGTATTGCATAAGCAGTTTATGAGTTTTAACTTTATATTAAAAAAATTGAGAAAAAAATTAACAATTTATTTGGTATGAAAATTATTTTCATTAGATAACCATGAATTTGATTTGCTTATCTAATGAAAAGAATTTAAAAAAAACAATTAAAAAAAATTTTTTCCGGTAAAAAAAGTTGCAAAATTTGTTGTAAAATTGGTTAACCAATTTTACAACAAATTGTCAACAACAGCAAAGTTTGTTGTAAAATGTTGAGTTTTTTTGTATTTTTAAGTAAGACAATAATTTTTAATGTTATCTTTTTTTAGGAAGATTTGTTGCAAAGAAAACTGAATATAGTTAATAATATAGTTATCCAGTGTTTTATTTATAATGAAAGAATATATTATAAATGCGTGAAAAAAATGCAAACTATTTGAATTTATATAATTTGAAGTTAAAAAAGTTTTACAAAATAACAATGACATTTAGAAACATAGAACATTAAAATATTTGAGTCAGTTCATGACCATCTTGTTCTGTTTTTGATTTAGCTGAAACTTTTTGATTTTGTATATATATGTATAAGAAAAATATATTTTGAAAATTTTATATTTTTTATGTGTTATTTAATTTTTTTTTATATTAGAGACTAAAGTTTTAAATTTTTGTTTTTCAGACTGAAACTTTTTATAATTTAAAAAAAAAACTTGAAAAATTTTTATCCTAAAATTTAAGTAAATTTGGTTAAAAATTGCTTCAAATCAAGTTAGATAATTATCTACTTTTTTTTTTTTTTTTTTTTTTATTTGCATTCACTCCCACCAAGGCTGCAAGCAACCACTATTAAGTTGGGAGTTACTAGGAATAAAAAAAGAACAGAGTTATAGAGCAACGAAACGGTTGACAGAAGACTTGAAAAGTTGAAGGTTGTATGAGTCAGGAAAACATGAAGATGGGAGAGAGTTCCAAAGGATTGAAGTGCAGGGAAAAAAACTAGATGAATAAAAGTTTTTAGAGCATGCAGGGACAGATACAGTAAACGAATGAAACTTAGCTGAATGACAAGTAAAACGAGAATGAATTTTAGTTGATGGAACTAGAGATGATAACTCCTTTGAGCAGTGACCATGATAGTATCTGTAGAAAAGAGAAAGAGATGCAACTTTACGACGATGGGAAAGAGGTTCAAGCTTAGCAAATAGTCCAGGTCCAACAACATTTACAATGCGTTTTTGGACCTTGTCAAGAAGAGAAAGTGAATCATTAGAAGAACCAGCCCAAATATGGCAACAGTATTCCATACAGGGACAAATAAGAGATTTGTAAAGGTAGAGAATGGAATCAGAAGTAAGAAAATGGCGAGCACGATAAAGAGAAGCAACCTTAGCAAGATTCTTCCTACAAGACAGTAGCAGGATGCAATTAACATCTGCCCAAGATGAGTATTTTTATTGAGACACCATCTCTAGCCTTTACTCAACCAAGAGCCCCAAGGCAGGGGATGTTTAGCTGGATGCAGTTAACATCTGCCCAAGATGAGTGTTTTTATTGAGACACCATCTCTAGCCTTTACTCAACCAAGAGCCCCAAGGCAGGGGAATTTTTAGTCGGAGTTTATTTCTCCTAGCCTTTGCATAAGAAGAGCACACTCTGCAAGGTAGCAGGGCTTGTGGCAGGTGGTACTGGGTTACGTGATACCAGTAGCAAGATTGATCTCGATTATCCTGACCTGACCTGGAGTAGTTAAAAGGAGTTACTTCCTGCAACAGTACTTTGAGAAAACCAGGCATGACATTTTGGAAGTGCATTAGGAAAAACACTGCATCTAACAAAATACAGGAGTCTAAGGTGAGTGTAGGTTTTGTAGTTGGAGTAAGTAGTTAGTTACTGAGCTCACGCTGCATTAGAGTATAAACAGAACACAAACAAACATAAATCAACTTACGGGTGAGTCAACACCGCGCCAGAGGTTCAGACAGAACACAAACATACATAAAAAACATAAAGTAACTTATGGGTGAGCGAACACCGCGCCAGAGGTTCAGACAGAACACAAACATACATAAAAAAACATAAAAAACATAAACATAAAGTAACTTACGGGTGAGCGAACATCGCGCCAGAGGTTCAGACAGAACACAGACATACATAAAGAACATAAAGTAGATTAAAGGTGAGCTAATACAGTAACTAAGGCACCTCCAACTATTTTGCAGGATTTGCTTAGATAGCAAATCCTGCAAGGCAGCAGAACATGGAACTTTTGATGGATAAACATTTAATAAAAATTTAGGTGATTGATTTTTTATAATAATTTTATAAAATAACTCAATTTGATGTCTCACAATTTTTTAAAAGTTATAGGGCATCAAATTGAGTCGGATCAAGATTTATTAAAACTGGATTTGTAATGCAACACATCTATTAGCTAAGATAACAACATTTTTAAAAAAAAAATTTATATAGCTTTCTATCAAAGAGTTTTTATTAAAAAAAAATAATAAAAGATCTATTTATAATCACTTATTATTAATCTTGAAAGATTGACTAAAATAATCAAGTTTTATAAATTTCTCTTAGAAGTCAGGTTTTCCGTAAAACCAATTGTTTCCATAAAACCAATTTGTAAAAACTATTTGTTGATTGGTTTTTAAAATATTTAATAAATAAAAGTTATTTGTAGTTTTCAAGAGAAAGTTTATTTGTTAATAATTGAGCTACAAAATTAACATTGCAACATGTTGTAATCCTATGCAAAGAAAGTTAAAAGCAAGTATATAAAATATTTAAACAAACATCTTTGGAAACAAATACATCTTGACTAGTTTTTATCTTTTCTTTTATAGATTCTCTTAGAGTTATTAGTCTTTCAGTTGCCAAAAAGTTTGGTTTGATGGTCAAAAAATCTATTTGCAGAAAAGCACTGCTCTGCAAACATTGTTAAGTAAATAGAAAATAAACTGGGAGCTTATATTTTTTATATTGAAAAAATTATTTATGTTAACAGCATTACATTAAAAAAAGAAATTGAAGTTTTAAATGCTCAACTCTTAAACCTGTATCAAAAAATTAATGCAAAAGTTAAAGTTAATATCATAAAATCTGTTACATTAAGTCTTTTGCCAATAAATTGGGTTTAAAAACAACTTCATATGATTGAACTAAAACCAAATGTTAGAAAAAAAAAACCAAGGTCTTCAACCAAATGTTAGAAAGAAATAATATATATTTAGACAATTTTACAAATCAGTTCAAAATTTGACTGACTTGATTTATAATATAATTACTCCAGAGAGATGAAAAAAAAATTTTCAGAATTTTTCTACTTCAAAAACAACAGTATCACAAGTTGGAAGTAAAAAAAACCAAGTAAATATAGTGGAAACATTCTTGTAAGTTTGATAGAAAAATAAGCAAAGATGTATAATGATCTAAGAACTCCATACAAAGGTTAAAAATTTTTAAGATTATTTTAAAATTTTCAAAATTTTGTGAGTGAATATATAAGTGCATTTGTATGTTTGGCAACATTTAAAAAAAAAAAAAACAAGTTTAGTTCTCCTATAAAATTTCTAATACAGTATGTGCGCTACAAGGTTTCCACTGGAATAGCAACTAAGTAACTTTGCATGCCTTTGTTCTTTAATTTCTAAAAGATAAAAAACTTGTTAGTCAATGTGACTGTGTTATACTAGGCCATCTGAAACACAGAGCAGATGATGTTCTTTCATATAAACTTAAACAATTAGAAATATTTAAATAACTTATCTATATATTTCAGTGATAGAGCTGCATTATTAACAATTTGTGTTAGCATACACAAGTTTATGCAAACTTGTTTATGCTAACACATATTGTTAGCAAACTAGAATTTTTTTGCGACATCACACAATAAATGTCCTTGTAGTA